ACACTAATCACCCATGGATTTTTTTTATTTTTCTGAGAATTTAAGAATATTAAACTAATGTTTAATGAAATGATCATGATTAGTTAGATAATGCATACTATATAGTTTTCATATCTGTGAATAATATTGACTTTTGCTTTAATCTCATCAAACTTAGTTTTTGGACTTGCTTTTTTCTCTTTGTTACTTGACTAGGTGATGCTAATTTTTAATAATTAAGATTGCATTTAGATTAATATTATTTTTTCAATTAAAAAAAATAATAAATTTTTACTAGTAGTTTCTATAGTTTGTTCTTTTTCATTGGCTTCATTTTTATTTAATACGTTTTCATTCAATTCATTTTAAGTCAAATTATTTTCATTTTGATTTACTTCTGTATCATTTGACTCAAGATTGTCTAGCTTATTTAGTTGGAATTTGATTAATTCATTAGTCGCAGTTGATGTAGCTATGTTATTTTCAATTAATTCATTCAAAGTAGATGCATCTATGTTATTTTTGACTAAATTAGTATAGGTAAAAGCAATGCATATTTAACTACAATCAAAATTGTTAATATTGATATTCACTTAGGCTTGTTTATGTTTAGTTACTTTTTATAGAGATAATATATAATTAAGTAGCACATTGAAATAAAATATTTTATAATTATAAGTGAAAAAGTGTATAGTGTGGAAATTAATCAGTATATGATAACAACTTATTAGCTTTTGTATATTCAATTTTGCTTAATTTTGTTCTTTGTATATTATTCATACGTATATATACAGATTGAAGATTTTAGCACTTTTTGTGATTAATAATTTTAGAATTAAGGTTTTAGATATTCTGTATAGTTTAATTATAATTTTTACAGTAGAATAGATACTATACATTCTAATACTATATGTACAATTTTGGTTATTTTTTGTAATCTTTTACATACATAATGTGGTAAGTTAATATACATATAACATATTAGACAGTATATACGTATTTACATATATATATTCATATGTACATATAGTTAACAATAACTTATCTAAGATCATCTTTGTATGTATCAGGTAGTAAATATGTATTTCATACATATATATATTTATTTACAGTTAACAATAATTTATTTAAAAATATCTTTGGCGATTAGTATCAGGATAGTGCTCTTAATAGTTTAGAATATATAAATAGTAATACAAACCTGAAAAGGAAATTCGTTAATTTATATATATGATGTTAGAGTCAAGTAAGATAGGTTTAGGATTGGAGAGTTTGATTGTTTATCTATAGTTGTTGTCTAAACTATTTGGGATGGCCTAAACAACGTGATGATTAGCATTACATATAGTTTTAACCTAGTCTTAACCTAGTTTTAATTATATGTGATGCTAATTATCACATGGTTTGGGCTATCCCAAATAGTTTGGACACCAACTATATTCAACTATATTAAACGATATATAAGAACTATTATATGTATATAAAAAATATTAGATTACACTACTATATATATGTTGTAAAGGTATATATACATGAATGTTACACATATATATAATATAGAGGACTAGCAATATTTTGCCATTGTGGTAAATAACAAAATCTTAATTAAAATAAAAAAAAATTATTAAATTTAATCATGTAGTTATTTAGAAACCTTTGCTAGAAGTTTAAAAAAATCTTCTAATCTATTAGTAAAGTGCATACATATGATTATATGCCAATCTAGAAATTTGATTGGCTAGTACATCACATAGTGCAGAATTTTTCAACCCAACCCGGGTGACCTGTCGAGCTGATCCGGGTAAACTGATGAGTATTTCTAGCCAATCACTGATGTTTGTTTATATCAGGTAAAATAGGATTTACACATTCTATTTTACCTAAATATTAGTGATTGGCTGGGAATATCTGTCAGTCTACCCAGATCAGCCCGATAGGTCACCTGGGTTTGATGGGTCTAATTACTAGTTCATTCTCATACTGATTGGTTATAATCAGTCCTGGACTGCAGCCCGGTCAAACTTTTTTTAAAGATCATTGGTCTTTAGACCAAGACGGACCAGGAAGACCGATTAACAGCCCAAGCCAAGAGTGTGAATTATAAAAAAAAAATTAGAAAAAAGGTTTGAGAAGTTTACAGAGCCTCAAATGTGAATTTTTAATAAAATTTAGGCTAGAAGTTTAAGAAATTTACAGGCCTAGAGCTTGAATTATAAAAAATTCAGGCAAAATGCTCAAGAAATTTACAAGGCCTAGAGCATAAATTTTTTTAAAAAAATTTAGGCTAGAGGTTCAAGAAATTTACAAGACCTAGAATGTCATGGAAAAGTACATAACCATTCCTCTTCTAGGAATGGTAGATCTTGGATGGAAAGATACAGTGAATAATAAAAAATTTAGCCAAATGGTTAAATAAAGATTCACAGGGCCTAGAGTATAAAATTTAAAAAATTTAGGCTAGAGGTTCAAGAAATTTACAGGGCCTAGAGCACGAATTTTTTTTAAAAAAATTCAGGCTCAAGGTTTAAGAAATTTGAGGGCCAAGAGCATGAATTATAAAAATTTAGGCAAAAGGTTCAAGAAATTTATAGGGAAATTTACACATCAGGACCCAAATTTGAAATAATTATGAATAAGGGCCCAACTTAAAAATATTTATTTATAAAGACATAATTTTTTAAAATATTACAAATACGGGCCCTAATTTAATCATGAGATAATTGCACCATAATATTGCAACAATCACTCACTTCACTCCATAACACATGAAATTTGTGATTAAAGAAATACTATATAGTTATTCTTTATAAGCACCATTTTTGAAAAATTATTGGCAAGATATTTATTTATAAAACTCATATAATCACATTACTTTTAAATTTTATAATCATATTTTTTTTATATAAAACAAACAATGTGATTATAGGTTATAATTATTAAAAAAATAGACAACTCTTCCCATAGATCACTTTTACCAAAACAGGAACAAAAAGAAAAAACTTTCCCGTAGAATTATTCCAAAAATTTACTAAGTAACTTGATATCCGGCCTTTAAGTAAAGTTATCCGGCACCCATAAAAGTACCTAAAAGAGGTGCCTTTTAACAAAGAAGTTCTCTCTCTG